TGTTCGTGATTCATTTGTTGTTTAACTAAGAATGTTTATGCATTTGTTAATCATAATAATGACTGCCACAAAGAAAGCAGAATCACTTCTATTCTTTTATCGTGCCTAAAAGATTAATTAATGGTATAAAAATCACAGAGAAAATCATCACCATGTCTTCATTGTGTTTTTATATAAATCACAGTTTTTATTTTACTGGAAACATCAGTAAAATAATTTTGAGTTTTCTTGAGAAAATCTTTCATTTATCTGGACTAGCCAAGTTCAGACTTATTATTTAAACAGAAATGTTAATTAATCATCATAAATGTTTTACAGTGATTTCTCTTAGAGTCTATCAGAAGGAGAGTGTAGTGAATTTCATGTACTGTGCCTTTAAGAAATGTGAACGTGCGTCCGAGCAGGTGCGCGCCCTTTGTTCAGTCCAATTTTACATCTCGCTGTGATAAGCTGTTCCCATCTGTCTCGCTAAATAAACCTTGTCCAGACGCTGAAGATTATCGTCATTTTTTTCATTCAACATTCAACAACTTTCAGGCAAGACGCTCTCTGATTTTCCAGCAACCCAGCAGCACCAGACGAGGAGAGACGGAGGGAACAGCCGGCAGACAACCTCAGAAGAACCGAACCGAACACAGCATAAAATGGCGTCAACAGGCCTGTACAGTCTTAAGGTTAATATTGAATTAGCAGGGGTATTATTGGCCATATTTACTTCTGTTTTTTTTTTTTATTTTTATGCCTCAGAGACTCAGGACAGTTCATATAAGGTTTGTCGGCTGGTCACAGCGATGGGCTCCGTCTAATGTCTGGAGTTCTGTCTTTGTTTTGTTTTGTGTGTTCAACCTTGCTAAGTTATTTGTTATTTTTTGCGACGTGTTGCCCGCCGCAGGGATTAAGTGTGTGTTCTCTGGCGGTTTATGAGTAATGTACGCGTACTTTTGAAGAAAAAGTGTTGAGATGCATCTCTTGTATTGAGTTTTCGCCGCATCTCCGTAGTTGAGAAACGGGTCGGCAGAGAGACGTCTTTGTCACCCGGGTAGCTGCTGGAGGGCACGGTGAACTGTTGTGTACGGGGCCGTTCAGCCTGGTCCTTTGTTCTCTCGCCCGGATAAAAGTACCCGGTTGCAGTATCTTCTGAGGCCTAAGTACTGTTTAATTCCGATGAAATAGGCCGGGGAGGAAACAAAATATTGGGTGGTGGAGGCTCCGTCTAGTTACTGGAAGTTTAAAGGGGACATGTCATGGTTTTTTTGTTGTTTTTTTAAAGTTCTGTTCAAGCAAGGGAATACAGGCCTGTGTGTTTGTCTGTCCTAAATGTGTGTTTGATGTTAATTGTGGGGTTTTGTTGTTTTTCTGTTTATTATTTGTGTATTGGCTCTTTGCACGGTGTGGCTACGTGACTTCCGCTAACTGGAAGGTGTGAGGACAAGTACTTCCGGGTTGGTGG